AAGTTTAGCTCCAGATTTAACTGACTGATAATTATTAACAGCCTTCATTTCAGCAGTTTTGCTTCATTCATTCATTCAACAAATATTTACTGAGGGTCACTATGTGTATAGCAGTATACAAAACAAATGAAAACCTGAATTACATGTTTTTTTATAGGAATAATGTCAACCCAAATATTGCCGAAGACTTTGCTGTATATTAAGAAATTTCATGACAGCCCTGGGATCTATAAACTTACCTTCAAAATTCCCCAAATGTCTATTTTCTTGGTAGCCACATTTTCTTTTAGCTTAATCAGTGGGACAAACTAAATGGCAGCAGATGGTCCGTCCTCTTATCCTCTTAGGTTGTATATACTAGATAATTAGCTAAAAATTTTTGTTGGGCTTCCTTGGTGGCACAGTGGTTAAGAATCCACATGCCAATGAAGGGGACACGGGTTCGAGCCCTGGTCCGGGAAGATCCCACATGCCACAGAGCAACTAAGCCCATGCGCCACAACTACTGAGCCTGTGCTCTAGACCCACGAGCCACAACTACCGAGCCCATGTGCCACAACTACTGAAGCCCGCGTGCCTAGAGCTCATATTCTGCAACAAGAGAAATCACCGCAATGAGAAGCTGGCGCACTGCAACGAAGACCCGATGCAGCCAAAAATAAAAAATAAATAAAATAAATTTATAAAAAAAGAAAAAGCAGAAATAAATGAAATAATAAAGAAATATATAATCTAACACTAAAAAGGGTAATATCACAACAAACTTTGGTTTACTCTATGAACACAAAGTTGATTTAACATTAGGAAATCAATGTAGTTTATCACATTAGTGATATAAGGGAGAAAAATTATGCGATCATCTTAACAGATGCAGGAAAAAATTTAATGAAATTCAACATCCTTTCGCAATAAAAGTATTTAGCAACTAGAAATAAATGGAATTTCTTTAACGAAGGGTAAATACAAAAAAATTAATTGTATGAGCAACAAACAAGACAATGAAACTTTTCAAAAGACCATTTACCACTGCATCAAAAATATCAATTATACCTAAAAATCAACTTACTAAGACCTCAACACAGAAAGCTATAAAACATTATTGAAAGAAATTAAATTGATCCTAAATTCACCCACAGATTCAATGCGAATCCCAATAAAAATTCAAAGTTTTTAATGTGTGCAAGGAAATTGACAAGTTGATTCTAAAATTTATAAGGCATTGTTAAAGAATAAAAAGACAGATTTGCTCAATGAAACCTGATCCCTACATTACACTAAACACATAATCAATTCCAAGTGAAATGTAAATATAAAATCTGAAAGGCAAAACAACAGAGATTTCAGGAAAAAAAAGAGAATATTTAGGGTAGGAAAAGATTTCTCAACCCAGACATAAAAAGCACTCAACATTGGGCTTCCCTGGTGGCGCAGTGGTTGGGAGTCCGCCTGCTGATGCAGGGGACACGGGTTCGTGCCCCGGTCCAGGAGGATCCCACGTGCTGCGTAGTGGCTGGGCCTGTGGGCCGTGGCCGTTGGGCCTGCCCGTCTGGAGCCTGTGCTCCGCGATGGGAGAGGCCACAACGGTGAGAGGCCCGAGTACCGCAAAAAAAAAAAAAACACTCAACATCAAGACAAAGATTAAGTTTTTCTACATTAATCATATGAACCCAAAAAAGACATAGCAGGAAAAGAGATATACATGACATCACCCACAAAGGATTTGAATCTAGAATACAACAAATTAATAAAGACAAAGTAGAAAGAGATCTGAACAGGCACTTCATGAAAGATAACCAAATGACCAAAAAATAAGTATTGGGTTGGCCAAAAAGTCCATTTAACTTAAAGCTGAAGACACATGCATCCTGTCTGAACAATTTCACTCCTAGGTGTATACAACCAAGAGAAACATTTGTGCACAATACACCAGGATTCAGTAAAGTTCACAGAAGCATTATTCACAATAGCCAAAAACTGGAAACCCAAATGCCCATCAACAGTAGTAGAAAAGAGAGACGGTAATATGTTCATACAACTGAATACAGTTGACCCTTTAAAAACATGTGCGGGGCCCACCTATATGCAGGTATTTTTCAATAAATATATTGGAAAATTTGGACTTCCCTGGTGGCACAGTGGTTAAGAGTCTGCCTGCCAATGCAGGGGACACGGGTTTGAGCCCTGGTCCGGGAAGATCCCACATCTCTTTTGATGTCCATTTGATGTTTCATTTTTGATGCTGCGGAGCAACGAAGCCCGTGCACCACAACTACTGAGCCTGCGCTCTAGAGCCCGCGAGCCACAACTACTGAGCCCATGTGCCACAACTACTGAAGCCCACACGCCTAGAGCCCGTGCTCCACAAGAGAAGTCACTGCAATGAGAAGCCCACACACTGCAATGAAGAGTAGCCCCCACTCACCACAACTAGAGAAAGCCTGTGTGCAGCAACAAAGACCCAACACAGCCAAAAAATATATATATATATGTATATATGAAAATTTTTTGGAGATTTCTGACAATTTGAAAAAAGTCACACACGAAACACATAGCCAGAAGTACTGAAATGATTAAGAAAAAGGTTTGCAATGAATGCATAAAGTATATGTAAATACTGGTGTGTGATATTTAATGTAAAATTAATGTGTTAGTTTTCTTAATGTTTTATAACTTTGCTTTCAAAGAATTATATTACCATATTCTTTTCTAATTGGAGAAAGTGAGTATTAGATTATTACAGGTAAGTGACTTCTTTAAAAATGTAATAATGTTTCTGATACTGTACTATGAATATGACTGCAATACCATACGCCACAAAAATTTTCTAACAATTCATTCATTAGTGTCTAGGCAAGGCTACTGGGAAGCAATTTTATCGATTACACTAGGCTACCATAAAGTATGAATCAATAAACTTTTTCACATTATCTTTTCATTTTTTATGTCCAGTGCTGGTAATACATATAACATCTACAGTGTTTTGTGTCATATAAGACAATATTGATGTAGGTTCTGACAAGCAATTCATCTCATAAACAGAAGATGTAAACTTAGGTATAAATTACTGTAAATACATTTTCTCTTCCTTCTGATTTTTAAAATATTTTCTTTAGTTTACTTTTTAATTAATGATACAGTATACAATACACATAATATACAAAATATGTGTTAACTGACTGTTTCTACTATGGGTAAGGCTTCCCCTTCTGGTAGAAGGCTATTAGTTAGGTTTTGGGGGAGTTTATAAGTGGCTTTTCAGCTGTACAGGGGTCAGGCACCCCCCAGGCCCCAAGCTGTTTGAGGGCCAACAACTATGCAGCAATGAAAAGGAAAGAAACTATAGCTCCAACAACATGGAATAAATCTCACAAAGATATTGTTGAGCAAAAAATGCAGACACACACCAAACAAATATAGTGAGATTCCATTTAAATGAAAGAAAAAAAATTTTTTTAATGTGGGGCTTTAGGTACAGTGCCTACAATTCTTTGGAACTGGCAAAATTGAATATTGTAAAAGAAGTGAGTCATCAATTCTGAAGATATTACCCTCCTAACCAAATATTTTCTGAATATCTTTCACCTGCCAAGCACTGTGTTAAACGCAGGTGATACACCTATCACCTCAAGGTGCTTACAAGGTATTTGGGAAAATTATACATAGAAATGTCCCTATCTTTACTGCAAGTAACAATAAGATCGATGACGCTGGATTTCAGTTATTTATCCCCCACTGTACAGGAGAATCTTTTTTTTTTTTTTGCGGTACGCGGGCCTCTCACTGTTGTGGCCTTTCCCGTTGCGGAGCACAGGCTCCGGACGCGCAGGCTCAACGGCCATGGCTCACGGGCCAAGCCGCTCCACGGCATGTGGGATCTCCCCGGATCGGGGCACGAACCCGCGTCCCCTGCATCGGCAGGCGGACTCTCAACCACTGCGCCACCAGGGAAGCCCCAGGAAAATCTTTAATGTCAGCAACTGTGTATGCTACAACTCATCTCTCTATCCTCAGGACCTAACACAGCACCTACCCATGCAGTAGTTGAAAACAAAAAAAGTCTGCTGAATGAATGGACAAAAAAAATTAATATAAGGTAGCGGATGACAAATGGGAAATAACAGACAATAAAAAGAACACAGGGGGACTTCCCTGGTGGAGCAGTGGTTGAGAGTCCGCCTGCCGATGCAGGGGACACGGGTTCGTGCCCCGGTCCTGGAAGATCCGACATGCCGCGGAGCGGCTGGGCCCGTGAGCCATGGCCGTTGAGCCTGCGCGTCCGGAGCCTGTGCTCGGCAACGGGAGAGGCCACAACAGTGAGAGGCCCGCGTACCGCAAAAAAATAAAATAAATAAAAAATAAAAAGAACACAATATACAGAACGACCACCGTGTAGGGCTTTTGGTCATCTTACACCTATTTACTAAAACAGATTATTTTCCCATTGCCCATCCTCCCACCCTCTCACCTTCCCCCAGCCTCCAGCCCACAATTCATTCACTCAATCTGATATACACAAAGCAATCACGGCATGCTAGGCACTGGATTAAAGTGCCAGTGATAACAAATTAATAAAAAGCATAGTCTACCAAAGGAGCCTACAATCTAGCAGGAGACAAACATGTAAAGAACGATAAGCTTGAAGGGCATAAATGGGGAAGCACCACACTCTGCGGGGACCAGGGTGAAACACAGCTTTCACAGAGACACTGAGCGGGAAGCGCCGGGCAGGGCGCGGCGAGGAATTCAAGGCTCCTGCGAGGCTGCTGGCACACACCGCACAGGGAGAGCGGGCGAGGATGCTCAGGCTCTCAGACCCGAGACGCCGTCCCCCGCGGATGGGGATGGCGCGGACGGGGCCTAAGAAGGAAGCCTCCTCTCAATGTCCCCGCGCCGTGGACATCCGTCTACACCGCCTCCAACGCCTCCTGAGCGGGCAGCACCACCCCGGCCGCGCTGACCGCCGCGCGTGAGCCTTCCCCCGGCCCGGGCCCCGCACGTACCCCATCGATCTTCATGTCCAGGATTTTCTCCACCTCGAACACATCCTCGCCGTCATCCTCGCTGTCCCCGACAGCCTCCGCTCCTTTCGCGGCCGCGTCCTTCTCTTTGCCCACCGCTCCTCCTCCCTCTCCTTCGACTCCGGGCGACTTGCCACTGCCGTCGGCATCCGAACCAGGACCTGCAGCCGCGCTCACCCCCTCCGCCTCCGCCGCAGCCATAACGGAGCTCTGCCAGCCGCGGGGAAAGCGGTTGAGACGCGCGCGCCGCGCTCGGCCCCGAGCCCCCGCCAGCAGGATGCCGCTGACTAGAAAACGCCAATGGCGGGCTCGGAACCCCAGCGCGACGCGCGCGCACAACAATCACGTCAGGGCGGGCGCGCCGGAGCCCCGCACCACCCACAGGAAGCGGGTGGCTGGCCGAGGTGGGGGTGCCCCGGGCTGAAGGAAGAGCAGGGCGATGGAGGCGCTAGGAGAGGCCGCGGTGTAGCGCCGGTGGGGGGGGCTTGAGGAGCGTGGGCGGGGTGTGGGCTGAGGGGAAGGGAGCTGCGGAGCGGAGGCTGCACTGCAGCGCTGGTGGGCGGGGATTGCGGGACTGGGGCGAGAAGTGGGCGGGGCGAGAGGGTCAGCGCGCGGGTCAGGTTCGTGGCGGGTACGCTTCGTGCCGCCTGCTGCCCAGAGCAGGTGACCGTTATCTGGGTGATTTTGATTCGATTAACGCCTGTGAAGAATCCAATCAAACACAGCTCATAGTGCTGTTATATTTTAGGGAGTGCTGTTTAAAGATAAGGAAAACATTTATTTTCCAATATCTAGTAGGGTTTTGTTTTGTTTTTTTAATTCCCACTGAGAAAAATCAGAGGAGGTGATAAAAGTAATTTGTACACGTTATGAATGATTGACAAAGATAGTCACCCCTCAAAATGAATTGTCGCCCAGAGTTGCTAGGTGAAATATTTCTCAGTTTGAATTGCAAATAAGCAAATAAAGTCTTTGTAGCAGCGAGCTTTTTATTTAACAGTGAAATTTGTCGACTGAAAATAAATGCACAAGGTGAGAGTTGCGAGTTGGGTTTTATTTGGGGCAAAATGAGAGCTCTGTCCAGGGGACAGCGCCTCAGCAGCTCAAGGCCTGGGTGACGGGCCAGGAGACGAGCGGTCAAGCACGCGCTGCTGCTGGCCACGAGGAGCGGACGCCCCGTTAATGATTTTGTGCCTTTCTAGATGTGAGGGGAGGCGAGAACCGGGCTCCTGAAACGTCCTCCAGCTTTTCCCAGAGCACAGAGCGCCTCACTCCTGATCTCCGCCCTGAGCTCCTCTCAGGGGGCCTTGAAGGTCTGCAGCTATGGTGGCTAATGACCTCATCCTCGAGTGACAATTTTCACCTGGCAACATAATTTACAAAATTAACTCTTTTAAATGGGCTCCCTGAGTTCATTTAAGACTATGATCTGGCAGGCGCCTCTTGGGAGCAGCGCCAGATGTTTGAGTTGGCTCACAGAAGGCATCCTAGGCATTAGGAACACAGCGATCGCTACACCATAGCCTGGCCACCACGCACTCTCATATCTAAGGGAACACACAGCAATTCTAATGCTTCCATATTTTTTTAAAATAAGTTTAAAAAATACTATAAAGCAACGTTAGTTGATGGGGGACAGCTGATTGTTTCACAAGAATTCCAGCTAACAAGTATAGAAGAAAAAATAGAGAACCACAATATTTCATAAAATGATTCAGACAACAGAATCATTAGCTGAAAGACTGAAGAGGAACTGAATGCCAAAGTATCTGTCCACAGGTGAGTGTTGGCTGTAGGCAAGCAACTCCACAGTGGAAACGTGCGGATCAATGTTAGCATTATTAAAGTAGAACAACCAGCCTTCATGGCTCGTGTTGACAGAAATGCTGATCCTTAATCTACTCAGGACTTTAGATCTAATTTCCAGTTTACAAGAAATATGGGGAAAGAGAAATGGAAACAGACATATCCAGAATGTGGGACATCCTGTAGGAGAGCCAACTCGTTTCCTCAGCAGCAAAAGAAGAGGGAAGTGTTCTAAGTGTCCAAAAACTTGACAAAGCATTTTAAGTCTTGAGGGAGTTAATTACACTATTTACTCTGCTTTTATGTAATTTTGAAATTAAGTATATATGTTCATTGTAAAAATTTTTCAATTAATTCAAAAATGTATAAGATAGAAATAAAGTTCCTGTTCCTCAAAGGTAACTAGTTTGGAATATGACATGACAGATTTTTATCTCATACATATATAAACACCCATTTATACAACTTTTTTTTCTTTGCGGGACTCTCACTGTTGTGGCCTCTCCCGTCGCGGAGCACAGGCTCCGGACACGCAGGCTCAGTGGCCATGGCTCACGGGCCCAGCCGCTCCGCGGCACGTGGGATCTTCCAAGACCGGGACACGAACACGTGTCCCCCGCATCGGCAGGCGAACCCCCAACTACTGCGCCACCAGGGAAGCCCTTACACAACTTTTGAAATGAGCTCTATTGCACATGCTCTGCCACTGCACTGTGTACGTATCCACATATAATACATGTATGTGTTGGTGTGTCCATATTTCTGTAAGATGAATTTCTAGAAATAGAATTCCTACTAGCGGAATCTATAGGTCAAAGAGGGTAGTGATTTAATTTTTTCTTCCAGTTTTATTGAGATATAATTGACATACAGCACTGTGTAGGTTTTAGATGTACAGCATCATGGTATGACTTACAAACACGATGAAATGATGACCACGGTAAGTCTAGTGAACATCCATCATCTCAAATAGACACAAAATAAAAGACCTTTGCGCACTCTCCCCTTCCACCACCCCCATCTCTGGTAACCACAGGCGTGATCTCTTTTTCCATGAGTTTGCTTGTTTCTTTTGGAAGCATAATTGACCTACAACACTATATTAGTTCCTGGTGCATAACATAGTAATTCGATATTTCTATACATTATGAAATGACCACTGCATAGTGATTTAAATTTTGATAAACATTGTAAAATTTTGTTTTACTAGTATACGTTTCCAGTAACAATGTAAGGAGGTACCCGGTTTGTCTTCTGTAATTACGTCAAGCAAACAAGCAGGGCAGGCCAGGGCCAAGACCTGACTGATTTGACCAGTAAAGATATAACAAGCCCGTTTCAGATTTAGATGGTTTATACATATATAAACAGCAAAAGGCAGAGTAGTCAAAGATGCCAGCTCCCCTTGGCCCTGGGCCCACGGCCCCGAACGGGGCCGGACGTCTGCAGTGTGAGTAGTGGGACAGGTCCTAAGCTTCTTGCCTCATCGGGGAGGAAGGTGGGAGGAGGCCTTTAGGCAGCTCCTCACAAGCCTCCCATTCCCTCAGGCACCAGCAGGCTCACAGGGTCCCTCATCAGGGTGTTGGGAGCCACTGGAGAGGCGGGCAGGCCCCGCAGCAGGAAGGAAACCCTGCACCTGTGTGCGTGAGGGGTGACGGGCAGGACAGGTGGGAGGACAGCCAAGACTGTATGTCAGGGCTTTCCTGGTGGTGCAGTGGTTGAGAATCTGCCTGCCGATGCAGGGGACACGGGTTCGAGCCCTGGTCCGGGAAGATCGCACATGCCACGGAGCAACTAGGCCCGTGAGCCACAACTACTGAGCTTGCACCTCTGGAGCCTGTGCTCCGCAACAAGAGAGGCTGCGATAGTGAGAGGCTGGCGCACCGCGATGAAGAGTGGCCCCCGGTTGCCGCAACTGGAGAAAGCCCTCACACAGAAACGAAGACCCAACACAGCCAAAAATAAATAAATAAATATTAAAAAAAAAAAAAAGACTGTATGTCAAAGACACCGGGGTTCTACGTAAAGGCAGAGCAGAAATGGGCTGGAAGGCATCGTGTGGAGTTGGCTGGACAGAGACCTCACTCCCTTCACAAGAAAAACTCAAGATGGATCAGAGGCCTAAACAAACAATGCAAAACTATAAAACTTCTAGAACATAACATAGGAGAAAATCTAGATGACCTTCATTTGGTGATGAGATTTTTAGATGCAACACCAAAAGCAAGATCCACCAAAGAATTGCTCGGGACACCTAGGTTCTCTAAACAATAAGAAAGGTGTCCAGGGACTTCCCTGGCGGTCCAGTGGTTAGGACTCCGTGCTTTCACTGCCGGGCCGGTTGGATCCCTGGTCAGGGAACTGCGATGCCACAAGCTGCGTGGTGCAGCCAAAAAAAAAAAAAAAAGCTGCACAGGGATCTGCAGATGAGGGTCCACACCAGGGAGCGTGCACACCAAGTGCCAGGTGGGCCCAGGTTCAACACCCGGCCCAGAAACAGGCTTGTTTCCTCCCAGCTTGCTCAGCCTGGCTGCATCGGCTCCCTGCCAGCCTCCTCAGAGGGGAGAAGGAAATAAACTTCCAGCACCACCCCGATCCGTGTCTCATCACCTTAAAGTACTCAAACACAAAGAAGTCTGTAATACCGGAATTTTAATTTTTTTTATTACAAAAACTTTTTTTTGGCTGTGCTGCTCAGCTTGTGGGATCTTAGCTCCCCAACCAGGGGTGGAACCTAGGTCCCCGGCAGTAAAAGCTTGGAGTCCTAACCACTGGACTGCCAGGGAACTCCCTGGAATTTTAATTTTGTAATTGCTGGTTAGTTCATTAAAACAATAGACTGCTTCCACTTATTTTAAAGTGATTGCTACACTGAATAAAATCATAATTAGATTTCATTATAGGTATCCATTAGTATCTGATTATTGTATACATGGAGGCATGAAAAAGGTTTAAAAGACAAGTTCATGGGCTTCAGCCTTGACTATACTTCAGAAGCCTGTGAAGAGGGGAAGTGGTGAATCCGGCTTGGGGCCCCAGCAGCTGTTTGGTGGCAGAGTCCTAGTCTTTCCCAGCTCGAGCCGTTGGCAGATAGATGGATGCTGCCCTTCAGTTCTTCTTAGCCACTCACTTGCTTTCTTTATTTTCTCAAAATCCCAGGGAATATTCCTAGGTTAAAAACATTTTTCCATCAACTTCAGAATATAATTATATATGAAATGTAATGTGGTACCAAATCCAGCACATTATATCAGATAAAATCTGTCAAAAATTATGATACTTAGGAAAAGCAGTTCTCTCTGACTTTTTTCTTTTCCTTTCTGACATTTTATGAAAGTTCTTCCAGTGGCCTGACATGGTGCTTTGAACTTATTCAAAACATTTGAAACATAGTA